CTTTGATACTAATTATTGTTTGACTGGATCTACTCTGAATTTCTGGGAGCTAGTGTTTATGCTGATAGAGAGCAGATAGCTGTTGAATCTTAGGAATCCACCTTGAATCCCTGAATGTATTGCATTTTGGAAAATAGAGTCTTTGTCCATAGGAAGCTGATTTTCTTTGTTCAAGTTACTTAAAAACCCTGAGTGTAAGTATCTTCACATCAACAATAGATGGGTAAAGGAGATAGTACATGTAAAAATTAGCACTTTGCCATGCTCAAAACAGATGAATTTCACAATGTAGCAGTGCAACCAATAAAATAAAGAAACACTTATTAATAGTGTGCCTGATTGCCCCACCCTCCCTTGTCCTTGGTTTCCTATTTATGGACTATGGTACTTCCAGGATTCATGGTTGGGAACATCAGACACTTTTTCCTCACATGAAGTTAATGCCACATAGATATGTTGAAAGCCTGTGCCACATAATACGAAGGTGAAGAAATTGATTATTCTCTAAGCCTATTTCTCCTGGAGTTCTTAAATATAATTGTCATATCATATATTTGTTCTAAAGGCAAATAATACCAGAGCCTTTATGGAGTATTATTTTTACCTCCCCAGAATTTGTGGTCCCTTTTCTGACATCAATCCTTTGGTTATCCTTCAGGGAACCTCCACCCTTCTCTTAATCAGTTTTTGTAGTTTAAACACGGTTGGCATCTCTGTCTCCATAGATTGAGCACAGAACCAAGGTATTTCCAAGAAGCATCTCTTTCACCAAGGAATCTGATTCAGGGATGCTCAACTGAAGCAAGAAAAGCCAGTGAAATACATACTGGGAATTTATTGACTTTAATGGCCCACTATGCAGTGAAAACTTAACTAAAAATCAAGGTAGTACAGATAAAAAGTTTGGCCTGGAGCTAGAGAAAGACTAACTCTGGCGTACTCTGAGCATCTGGATACAGCCGTGCCTGAAGCTAGATATACCCTTGAATATTTTAGTTATGTGCACCCCCAAAAAATTCATCGCTTTCTTTTAAACTCAATTTAATTTCATTTTCTACTGCTCATAAACAAAAGTGCTAAAAATGTAAGAAGGCAAAATTTGAAATATGAAATAGTTGAAAATCAGAAGATATTTGTGTGTTAGAAAATGATGTACTTATTCTTTTTTATCTTTCCTTTAATACATAAACTTAATTTTAAAGAGATATTTCAACCAATTTAGCCAATTTGTTTCTCATCTGACATTCTTCTTTTTTTTTCTCCTAATGGATGTGTTACATTTTTGAAGACTGACTCTGGTTCCCTGCAGAGTTGATTTTCTTTATTCTTAATATCACAAAACAGCCTTCCAATGAATAAAATCAAATTTTCTCTCAATGTCATCCATTGTGCGGTGAAAAAATGATTGACTCACTAAACACCAACCATGAGACCAGTCAATCTTGTTGATTCAACAAAAGTATCACTTGCCGTTGAGAAATCTTTTCAGCTCCTGAAGCTAACTTGTAAAACATTTATAATCATCATGCTTTGAATATTGGGCATAGTTAGCATTCTTTATCTCTCTTACTGAGTAATGATTTGAGAAATAAGAAAGGGGAAATCATTACATCTGAAAACTGAACTATAAACAATACGTAAAAACAGAGAATCATTAACATTTCTGGGTGGAGAGACTCAGCAGTCTTTCTGGATTTCTCTGACCATTGGTCAGTTGTGGGTCTATTGCAAATTAAAATGAATCTCATCAGAATTTTAGAAATTAAATTTAATCATCAGAATTTGGAAATTTAAGCATGAATTTTATGTGTTAGGATTTATTAATGATTTTCGTATCTAAATTACCAGGAAAACCTAAGTGGTATTCAGTAGCACAAAGTTTGGGTCATATTCCATTTGAATGCACATATTGTTACCATCTTTAAGACCTTGATCCTCAAACTTGTCTGCATATCAGCATCACTTGCGGATTTAAAAAAATACCAATAAGGGAAGGATATGATATTGAGGTACCACCTGCACATAGGGATATTTAAAAATATCTCTAGGTGAGTCTAAGGTGCACAGTTTGAGAGTAATTGCTGTAAGACGCTACTTCTGTAATTTTAATGGTCATATAAATCACTTGAGGATGTTGTTAAAATCAGATTCTGACTCAGTAGGCCTGGGGTGCAATCCAAGATTCTGCATTTTTTAACTTTTCAGCTAATGCTGAAGTTGCTGATGTGAGTTTCATACTGAGTAGCAGGGCTCGGGGGCATAGATTGTATTTTTGGAGTTACTGTGAATGAGGGAATTTTCTAGTGTCAGTCACTTCCCATCTGGAATTAAGAGTTTAAGAGTGGACATCTCTTGCACTGTGGATGTCTGTGATCATCAATTTGACCTGTGGAGGATGTTCTGTTGTTATAATGAAGACTTGTTGAAAGTTGTTATCCCTGTGGATGGTCCCATCTTTGCAGAGTGGGAGAAAGAACTTGATGTACTTGAGTTTGCTGATTTTCACAGCCTCTGGTCTCCATTTGGGAAAGCCTTGGGCCAAACGGCAAAGCTTGACTTTCATACCTCCACCCCCTCTTTTAGCACTTTCCCTCTCCTCCTTCTGGTTGGCTGACCCAGCCATCCTCCTCCTCCCTGCAGGCTGTCTCAACTTCTGAAACCTGGGCTTTAACTGATGGAGAATACAATTTTGAATATATTGGGTCTCAACATCATCTTCCTCCAGTCACACCACAGCATGAGTCTCTTAATCAGCCCCTGGTGGGCAGATCTGTTGATGGCTATTTCAGGAATGTTCTAGTCTTCAGTTTGGAATTGGAAATGAAACCTCCTTTCTTTACCGTATGTTCAGTGTTGTACTGCTGTTTCACCACTTCCCACAATGGTATTCTCTTCTGAAATAAAGTGTGAGGGCAAACACACCTTAGTCCGTGTACTAAATCAAATTTCAAACCCCATTTAGTGTATTTTAAAAATAGTCAGCATAACAGTAACAATATAGAGAAATTTTTATTTTCTTAGCAGCCAAACTATCCCAAAGGAAGGACCCAGTTTTCTTGGGTGAACATTTTGCTAAGTTCGGATGGATTAAGGAGTGGATCCTTTCAAGGAGCATGCTTGAGGGGAAAAAAATCAAAGTTTGCTGTAGAGTTAAATGGAGAACATTTGTTTTGCCAAGTGAAGTACAGAAGCTGAAAACAAGAGCTGAGAACAGTAGGCAAGAGTTTTGGAGCTTTGTCAGGAAGAGGGGAGAGAGATGGTGTTACTAGCAGAGAGAATGATGTCTTTAGGGTGAGTGAAGATCAGCTCAGTGAAGGGAACTTAATGAATTTCCTCTACATGATAGGCAGGAGGAATCCTCTTGTCTCCTTATAGCACCTCTAATGGACTATCCATCTCTCAAGAACATGATGGAGTATTTGGCATCTCTTTTGTAATTTAAAAATATAAGTTAGGTGATGCTGCCCCTGCACTCAGGACTTTCTAGTGGCTCTCCAGGGCTAGCAGAGGAGAAGCAGATGGCTTGGCAGTGAACCAGAGGGTCCTACACGAGCTCCTCTCCTGCTCGTCCCTGACCTCATCTCTTTTTCCTCGGTTCCACACCTCACTGCTCTTGGAACACTTGGGTGTGTTTTCTTCCTTGTGGCCTTTGTCTTAGCTATTCCTCTCTCTAGAATGATGGGTCCTGAAGTATCTACACAGCTTATTTCTCCCCCTGCTGCCAGCCTTTCTCCAATGCCTGTTTCTCAGCAGCTAGATTTAAAAATGTAAATCCCCCTCCCTCCCTCTGAACCCATTGGTCTTGCTCTGTTTCTTTCATAGCATGTCTCTCAGTATGCTAGAAAATGTATTCATTTGTGATCACTCCTCCCCTCCCAAATGAAAGCTCCATGAGGATAGGGGTTTATGTCTTTTTTCCCAATGATGGAGACTGGGCATCTAGAATATCCTCATTGAAGAAATGAATATACAGAAATTTTCCTTAAGACTTCCAAGTTGCCCATAAGAAGTCAATCATAGCCAAAGTATTTGAACACTACTCACTTACTAGCCACTGTGCTTCTTGCTAGTGGCTAGTAAATTTCCCAGATTGGAAATACGTGAAGTATTTATCCATCATCCTCCTACCCCAGCTCTAATCTCTTTTGAGACATCAAATTTCTCTATGTTCAATGTAAAACTAAATATACTTGAAGCAGTAACATTAAGTCCTTAGAGAAACTGAGGCTCTCCTGGCAAGGTTTTCTGCCAGTCCATCTCATACCTTTTCTCCTCCCGTCCCACACTCCCATGGACTGCCAGCCCTTCCCTCAAGGGCAGGTTCTGCAGCTCCTGCCTCCTCCAAGGACGGCACCAGTTTCAGACTTCATTTATCTCTTTGAATTTGTCTTACACTTGGTCTTAACAAAGATTCTTTGCTTGACCTAACTTGAGCCAGTTTCCTGAACCTTCTCCTAGGTCAGGCTATGCACTTCCTTGTAAAACCAAGTTTTGGCAAGAATGTGCTGAATCAGTTTAATCAGACCTTCCCACCCTTGATATCTGATCAGGTTCCTCACCCTCCACCAGCAATATCTGATTACCATGGCTGGTCTTCAGCAAGACTTCTTTTAGGTCAGTTTAGCCAGAATTTCCTACCCCTGGAGTTTTCTCTTAGTAATTTCCCATCTACTGACCTCCACACTTGCTCCTTGGCTAGTCATCCCCACTTGACCATGCTGTGTTCAACACTGAGGCCAATCTCTAGCCCCGCAACTATAAAATCCCATTGCAGCGGTCCCCATACCTATCACGATGGTCTTGAATAAAGTCTGCCTTATCCTCTGTAACCAGCATCATTAAATATTCTTTTCTCTACAACAGTCATCCTTCTCTTTTCTAGTAGTTATATATTGACAGTTTTTCCTTCTGCTTAGTATCTCTGCTTAGAGTCAGAAAGATGTGAAGTTCAAGCCAAGGTTTGTTATTGTACAGCAGTGTGATTGTTGGGCATATCATTTATATACTCTAAACCTCAGTTTTCATGTCTGTGAGATGAGTGTATTATTTCAGCTTTTTCTTGTACATAGGATGGAAATGATGATTTTGACCTTCTAGACAGTCTTGATCTCATGGTGAGTATTCAGATGATACATAGCATTCTTAATTAGGAGACTAGTAAATGTTTCTCCACCCTTCTCCTTCCTTTTATTAGCTTCTATTGAATCACAAAATCATAAAATCTTTAGTTTGAGAGGGACATTAAGGCCATTCGGTGCAGCTGTTTATCCACAAAACCATTCTTTATCATCTTTGAAAGTCATTATCACGCCTCTGGTTAAAGCTTTTATTTCCTGCCAAAGCAACCTGTAATTTATTTGGTATAGATATTGCTAGTGTTTCTCATATATTGAGATTGAATTGCTTGCCCTGAAACTTCCGTTTTTAACCCTAACATCTAATACTGGGTGTTCTATAGAAAAGTCTAAGCTAATTTTTACTGCGTGGTAGCCTTTCAGAAAGTTGAGAATAGTTATCCTGTCTTCCCATGTATTTAAACATCCAGACGAATTTCCCAGAGTAATACTGATTACTCAAAAAATGGTGTTTTGATTTCCCTCCCACTCCGATCATTTCTTTGAGAAAGCCTATATCGTGAGGCAGTGGAGCAAAGTGGCTAAAGATGCCATTGGGGTTTCAGTCTGAGCTCAAGTTTCAATCTGAGCTCTGTCATTTATTAGCTGAGAAGCCCGGGTAAACATCTTATGTGTATTGATATGTAAAATGGATGATAGTCATGAGAGGTAGGTATTCCATGCAGGTGGGTGGGGAAATCAAGAGGATAATTTTTCAGCCCCCTTAGCACAGTGCCTCAGGCGTGGCTTGTGCTCTGGAAATGGAGGTCAGTAGTTTTGGAGCCCTGTGGCCAGATGCTTCCTGGGTGGGGCAAAAAGCTAGGTGGGTGGGGCAAAGCTAGATTCCACCTGTCCCCGTTTGCTCTGAAAACTAGTGTTACCCACGTAGGCTTAGAGAGAAGGGGTTTTGTTGGCACCTACATCAGTCAGCTCGCACTCATTCCATTTGGAATCAATAATACTAAGGATATAAGTAACATCTATCTAATGAAGCATTTCAAATGCCAAGAAAATAAATAGAGATGCCTATAAAAATTTAAAAGGCTTTAAATATAAAAATTTATTCTATGACCAGGGAGAGCACATTAAGAAAATAGTTTCATGGGGCAGTAAGAATTCATTCATTTATTCATTCATTTTTTTCCTACAACTAGTTATTTAGTCCCAGCTATAGTCCATTCACTGTGCTAGGAATAAGTGTCTTTTCTCACTTCTCTCACTATTGCATTTTTGGTAGTGGAGATTACAGCCAAGAACAAAATTCAATTTTATTTAGATTTATTTGTCTCCATAAATGTAGATGAGAGAATAAAATACAGTATGGTTTTATTTGTTCTGGTTTGGATTCTGACATTTAAAAGCATGTACCATGAAAATATTAATAAAGTCTGACTGTATTTCAAAAATTCAAGAAAAGTGAGTCTACAATTTTTAAATTTCTCATAACTGCAGAATGTCCATATTGAGTAACCTATTGACTGGGCAAAGGTTGTTGCCATGTGAGAGCAGCACTGGAGTCAAGAGGCCCATGAACCAGCCAGCACTGCTCTCAGGGAGACTTGGATTATGTGAGTTTGTGCAAGGACTGTAGAATATCTCCTTAGCAAAAAAAAAAAAGTGAACCTCCCAATTTGTGATTATCAAAAATTATGATCAACTAAAGAGTTCTTAAAAGGTGGGATTTATGACAGCAACAAAATAGCCCACAAAGTCAGTAAGACAGCCAAAGATGACATAGAATGAAGACTTTCAGTCATGAGCCATTAATGGCAAAGCCAAATAGCACTAATGTCAACCTTGTGGCAGCCATGAGTTGTCAACCTGCCGTAGAATGGTTTTAACTGTGAGAGTGATAACATTTTGCAAGCATTCTAGAGACCAGGGAAAATAAATCTTTAGAGAGACACTTTCAATTGAAACAATCTGGAATAACAAAAGGATGTTGAGAGATTTGTCTTTCCTATCTGAATACTGACGGAGCTAATCCCAGGAAATACTTTTCTCTTGCATTTGAACTTAGTCCTTTGACGGTGAACATGTGGCAGGGAAAAGAATCTAAGCACATGCATATGTAGAAAGAGATAACTGAACTGTAAAATAAGTACACGTAATTGTTAAAAGAACTTTGACCTGAGGACTGATGACTTCCATCCACTCTAAGGCCAAGGTGTGATTTCCTGAAGGAGAAAAACTTGGACTACAAACTGGTGACAGGTTAAAGAAAGGGAAATCATTGCAAATGAGAAATTTGATTTTTAGAGTAGACATTTTATATATGATAGAGGTTTTGGGTCTTGCCTTCTCTGCCCCTGATGTGCAGCATATCGAAATTGGCAAGTTTCATTCTTTGACATGTAAGGGAAAAACCTTCAATAGGCATGATTCAGAAAACATGAAGTCTCTAAATGCAAGGTAGGGTAGAAGACTGGTACAGAGTTTTGTTTTGTTGTTGTTGTTTTTTTACTTAATATTAAATTGGACAGAATGAAGAAAACAAAGAATTATGTATGAATTTTATTTAAACATGAAGGATCTGGTCACAGTTTCCCCTAGTTGGAGACAGTGCATTTTGGTGATAAAAGCCTGGCCTCAGGAACCAAGTCTCTTAGGTGGGTGTCCCAGCTATAAAGTTGGGATAATAATAGTACCTATCTTACAAAGCTGTTGTAAACTTACATTCATACATATTTGGAGCTTAGAACAATTCCTGACACATAGTAGACACTCAATGAATATTACCTATTATTGTTACATCCCCAAATGAAATAGAACCATCTCAAGTCTCTGAAAACATTATCTATCTTGACTTCTAGTTTCTGTCGAAAAGCTAAAAGAGGAATAAAATATGTAATGGTAAAGAATCAGTTTCAAATAATCAAAAACCAACTAGTTTTCTGGGTAAAGATGGTAAAATGAACACAGTAGCTTAAATCCTTTCCTTCTCTCTGTGCACCATCCCTAGTTGTCAGTGAAATGACTAAAAGAATAAACAAAGAGCAATAGTAAGTGAGTGAAGGACCTAACCCTAACCCAAACCTAACCCTAACCCAAACCTAACCCTAACCTCAGCCCATCCCCCCCAATTTTATGGACTGTCAAAAAGGTAAAGCTTCATAGGAAGGACTGATCCATCCTAAATAAGGATGTATGTACAAGCATGTTGCTATAGATAACCTCTCTGAATAAGAAGGTCACGGGCTAGTGTAGGTGTGGTCCATAAAGGAATCGGTGAGAATCATCAGGTACTGGGCACCACCCAATGTAGAAATACTTCCTTAATACTTAAGAGCAACGAAGCCCAGCCGGAAAGGCTGCCTAGATGAAGACCAGCATCAAAGCAGCAAGGGTCATGTTGATCTTGATGGAATTTGCTAAAACAACAAGGAAAACAGTTCCCTCCAGTTCAGAAAGGGAGCTTTCCACTCTTGCTATTCTTGGCTCTTTTTAGGAAATGACAGTTATTTCCCATACTGTTCCTGACTAGTCTCTTACCTCTGATAGAAGTTAGTCTCCCTCACCTTTCAAATCTCAGCATCCTTCTGAGAACCCTTACCTTCCCAGGCCAGCTCTCCTTGTAGCCTTCAAGGGAAAGTAGTTGACACTGTCTCTCTCTGTCTCTTCTGGGAATGTTTTAATATGGTGCACGGGACCTAAAAAGGCAGTACTTTGGCTAAATGAGACTTGTAGTATGTAATACACCCACTCTAGTTTCTGGATGTAGGAGTTCTAGTGCAGACTCAAAACACTCCAGCTGTAGCTTCAGTGAAGATTCTAGATAGAGGGACAGTTAATACCTTTCTCCTTCCTTCTCCATTGCTTTTCAAGCTGTTTTCAGGGTCCTTAGAGAAGGAGATGGTGCTACTATTATCTCTTGTTAAGTATGATTTTTGTTTGTTTGCCAGCTGCTGTTCACAGGTCTCTGACTTTGGCCCTTTAAAAAATTCCTCATACTGATGTTTGAATTTGCCTGGGGAGAGGTGCTTAAAATGTGCGACAGGTGGTAGAAAGCCTAACTTGCCAGCGTTCTCCTGTGTACCAAAATTGATATTCTAGTCATGGACATTTTTTTAAGTTCTATTGACAGTTTACTGTGGTAGAATTTGGATCCATCAACTAGAAAATATGGGACTGTAACATATTGAATGTCTTAAGCAGAAGGAGTTTGAGAAAATGGCAGAAGCAGGAAGGTCACTCTGATCACCCACACCCACCCTAAGCCCTTCTTCCCTGAAACAAGTCACAGAATCCCCATGTGAAAGACATCCTCTCTGTACCAGGAGAGGATGTACCATTCTTGTGACTAGAGACTGGGAATCTGGAGTGAGAAGTCCATACCAATAAACCTTGTTAAACTAATCCTTAACTTCCTGGTCACCTCTTAGCCACAACCACCCTTTGCCCAAACCCTTTTGTTTTGTCAGTTCTTCACAAATGTATTGTTTCTCCATCTAACAGGTGTTAAGCTTCCTGCCCTGGTCACTTCTTCAGGCCCCCATTCTCTTGCGAAGGTTCCCATGTAGATGTAAAAATTCATAACATTTGCATGCTTTTCTCCTGTTCATCTGTCTGTCAATTTAACTTTCCGACCCAGCCTAAGAATGTCGAGGAAATGCTTTCCAATCCCTGCAGCTGAAAATAATATGCTCATTATAGAATAGTTGTTGGGTAGAACAAGTTTTTCTCTATCCTAAGTTCTTCTGGCTGGTCTAAGAGTTAAATGGACATGAGACAGAGTAACAGGAGAAAATTAAACCAACATTTAATAACATGTCTCCATGGGAGAGACCCTGGAAAACTGAGTAACTCACCGAAATGGCTGAAAAGCTCACCTTAAATACCATCTTCAGCTTAAGACAAAAGAGGATGTTGGGAGTAGGGCTTTGAGACTTCAAAGGAGAGGGAGGCAATTCACATGGAGATGAAAAAGCAAATGCATGGTTGGCCCTGCAGAGATAATGGAAAACATAGTGGACTGTGATCTCTAGGCTCCGCCCAGTTTTCCCTGTCAGATCTAGCCTGTATTTGCAGATCTCTAGTGGTACCTCTGTTATGGGAACTGGCCTTCAGTCTAAATTCTTTGAAGCAGTTGATAGCTAACAAGAAGAACTTCATGAGTCTTCTGTTTCTTAAAGATAATCAGCGTAGATTCATCCTCATGACAAAGAAATAAATTTGGAAGTAACAAATTTTGCTCCCCTGCACAATGATTGTGCAATCACATAATTTTTTTCTTAAAATCTTTGAGTAGGAAAATCTTAGTGAAAAAAACAAGTCCCAATGCACACACATAAGTCACAGAACTTACTGTTAATTTGAAGTTACTTAGGTCTAATAGGATAGGTTTTTGGTCCAACATTCATTTGAACTTGAAAATAAAAATAATATGTGCCAAGTGAAAGGAATGATTTTTCTTTCTCTCTCTTTTTAACGAGTCATCCTGGTTTTAAAACATGAGACACAAGTCATCAATTTCACTGTGACTTAGCAATTTATTTATACAGTTTTACTGCTTTGGACATAACACGGCTGAGTTTCGAGCTTGATGAAATATTGTTATCCACATAATGCATTTTCTGCTGCTTCAACAAGGTGTTTGGATTTGTGGGAGCTTCCATTTGAAGTTGAAATTGAATTGAAAATTCATGTGAAGGCTATACAGATGAGGCAAGTCTGAATATCAGGGAAGTGTCAATTAAATTTACTCTCTCGTCTCTGGCATAAAAACCTTCTCCTAAGGCCTTGAAAATAGCTCTCATTATCATGTGGATTGGAGTCAACAAGTATAATTCAGACCTAAGGTGAGCATAGGTTTATTTCTAGATATTTGTGAGAAATTTCCAATATATTTTTTTCTATATTGGTCTCATTGAGCTTAGTGTAAGTTATTAATGCTTAGCATAATTTATTGGTTCTTTATGGGCAGTCCTCACTTATTAAAGATGTTATTGATTGTGTTGAAATTAACAATTCCCTATTAACTCATAAGTCATCTTTTAGTAGTAGTCATAAAACACAACAAAGGCTGCGTCGGTCATAAATTAATTTCAAAACAGATACAAAGGTAGAAAATAGCAGCAGATGTTTTCTCACAGGACCACCAGGTAACTTCACAGCAGAAAAGAAATGTGAGTGGAGAAAAAATTACTCTTCTTCCCTCAAACAGTTTCCTTTTACTTAGAGAACTGGGAGGCAATTTTTTAGAGTCTGGAAAAAACAAAACAAAACAAAAACAAACAAACGGCCACTCTCACAATCTGTGAAAGCCCAATAGCAAGTTCTTTAGAAAAGCTTTAGATTGTAGATTGCATTCCAACGTTACAAATAGAAATACATTTTTTTCCCCAGAAAATGCCATTGCGTTAAGGGTTCCCAAAAAGGAATTTTTCGAGCTCTCCATTGGAACATCTTTTTGTAGATCACAACTTTAAACTAAAAATGCCAACTTCTTACACCTTTAGGAAATAGGGATGTGCGGCTGGGAAGTGGTATTTCTGTTTGTTTTTTTCCTGCTGAAAATGTACTGTTGACCAAGGCTGTGAAATATATTCTGCTTTGGGGTGAATACTGCTTATTCAAGTATCCAAGTGCCTGCTATGCAGAACCACAGAGCAAAGATA